CAAAGAATGGTGTTTCAAGGTGGGGGAGGGTAGACTATGTCAAATGCTGCCACTAGGTCAAGTAAGGTGACAGGACCATTTGGAAACCTAACATTGAAGAAGACTTGACAAGAACAGCTTTGGTGGAGTGGTATGGGTAAAAGCTTGATTAACGAGTTTAACAGAGGAAAGCACCAAGAAAAAAACCTTTTTTTGAAAAGACAATTTGCTTTTATACTAAAGGACTATCCACTGGAGAAAGAAAAACTGATTATGAAGGACAGAGGGGGTAGCATTGCTGGAATAATAAGAACCTACTGGAGTTGGCTCATCTAGGAGCACAGATAGTTCATCCCTTGAACAGGAGAAAAAAAGAACATATGGACATGGACACAGGTAGGTGAGTAGATGTGGTAGCACATAGGAGAGTTTTCTTATGATTGATTCTATTTTTTCATCAAAGTAGGGAGCAACTTCACCAGTTGGAAGAGAGAACAGAGTAGAAAATTCTGGAGGTTTAAGGAAAAAGAAGTAAGCCGTCAAATAGTCACCTAAAAATGAGAGTAAATGGGCAAAAACAAAACGGAGACTGTTTTGCTCATCTTTGAATCTGGAGAGCCTCGCACACAGTCCCTATCATGTTTTAGATGCTTCCAGTGACTTATAGGCTTGAGAACCACTGGGTTTTCATCAATACAAATTAAAAAAGATAACTTCAAAGGTTAATTTTTTTTTTACTTTTAGTAAAGGTCAGTGACCAAGGAAGGCATTTGACATACTAGTTAATCATGTCACAGGAAATAAGGAAACCAAGGATGAATGGAAATCTTTTAATTACTATTAGGATTGTCTTTTTTTCCTTCAGAAATTTGCAATGTACTTGCAAAGGAAAAATAACAAAATCCTAAAAGATGCGTCTAATACAAAAAAGGTAAAATTTATAGAAGAAAAGGCATGGGAACTTAAAGAGCAGGAAGGCAGAAAAGGAAAGGCAGAAGATATTCACTCAATTTTCAAGAAAAGGATCCAGAATGAAGATAAGCACTAAGTACTATTTGTCACAGAGGAGAAAATATGGGAAATCTAAACTAAATGTAGATGTGAGGATACTGATTTAAGAGTGGTCATAAATACTATGAAATGTTTTACTTGCCAGATTTAAGTGAACACAATATAACTATGCATTACTTTTCAACAATGCATTCTCTAAACTAGTTATTTCTAGTGATGCCATTTAGCAATTATATATATATATATAGCATAAGAACTTGATACATTACCGGGATCTGCTAGACAGACATAATGGTTTTGGTGATTTTTATGTATTATAAGTGATTACCTCCCCTCCTCCAAAAACAAAGAAATCAAAGTGACATAATAGTTCAGGGAAGAGTTCACAAACTCAGATGCCTACAGGGTTAAAAGCAGGTAATAAAATGAATGAAGCAGGCTGAGTTTAAGGACAGTAGGGAGTTGCAGGGACTGTGGCAAATAGGCAACCAAAGAGCACAAGTCACTACTCAGCTCCAGCCACTGTTGCCACATGGAAAGCACACTATTTTGCCAGATGTAATTCTTAAGACAGATATCCTAGTTTTTATGTGAATGCTTACAATGCTTGAATTATTGGCAACTACTTCAAATTTATAAACTGTGCACAGGCCATACTAGGCATGTTTGTGGGAAGCATTCAGGCCCTTGAGCTGTCACGTGTCCTCAGCATTAGACACTCCCTGAGTTCTATGAGCCACTCTAGCAAATTAATAGACCTCCACTTTGTAGGCAAATTGGACAAAAGTTGTGGGTAACTGGGGATCTATTAACTCATGATTGGCATCTGAAGTAGGGTGGGAGCAGTCTCACGGGACTACCTTATCTCCAGGTAGATAGTGTTATTATTGGGTTAAATTGCAGGATACCCAGTGGATGACACAGATAATTGCTTGGTGTGGGGAAAAAATCCCACACATTTGGTGACCAGAAGTGAAGTCTTTTGTGTGAGTAGTAAAGCAGATACACAGGAAAAAGACTCACAGGTGGTAGACTGAACTTTTTTCTAATATAATGGCTGTATAAAGAGATATAACAGGGTGGCCTAAGAACATTTTAAATCTCTATATTCAATCAGTTCCTCATAAAATGGGAATATAGATAAGTTAGTTCATGGGGTCATCAAATATATTAAAATCATAAATCTGTTTCAAATGTTAAGGGCCATGTAATTACTTGGTAATAAATATTTGCCTAGTATGGCCAAACACACTAATAAAGCTGTATATAATACTTCCTTAAAAGTAGAGTATATTCTTGGCTTCCTAAAACAATGAGCAATTTAATGTAGCTAGATTGGAAAAAGTTGTTTCAGGTTCTCAGGTTTCTCCTTTAAGATGTGTGTAAGCTAACAATGGGTTAATAATAAAGTCTCCAAACAGATCCAGGTTTATTTGTTCCCTACTGATAAAGCTTCTGGAGGTGCTCCTATCAGCTGATGATGCAGGAATAGCAAGGTGACTGTGTAGTCAGGCCCAGGGCACAATTTAGGGAAAAGAGGAATCAGTGTTTCTGGCCATGGTTTACAAATTCAGAGACAGGTCTAATCTTCCATTGACCTACTTTTATGCAAATATGTTCGATGGAGACAATTCTTGGTAATTGCTGTTCTCTTCATCCTGCCTGGACCATTAAACCATACATGACATGAAGACTAAGAAAGTATTACAAATTTATGAGACACTGTACTGGGTACAAACTCCCCATCATATACTCTTCTATGAGATTCTTCATTTTCAGCTTTCATCAAACCACAATGATTTAGCAAACTCAACAAACCAAGTCTCTTTTGCCAGCCTGTTTTCTTGTAGATTAGTGTGGAAGAGAAGAGAGTTGAATAACAACAACTTGAAAGATTAAAAAGGCTCTAAATTAAAGTCTTCCATTTAAAAGCACATTTCTGGTAAGATTATAGGTGATGCTTTTTTTCTTCTTGGTTTTCCAAACTCTCTGAATGACTTACTGTAATTTAAAATAATTATATATTAGAATAAATTGCCTTGCCATAAAAAAGAATTCTTCCTACAATAACATAAGAAAAGAATTCTGATAGTCACATTTGTTCATGGACATTATGCAAATGCTTAGAATCTTTTAATGAAATTCTGCAGGAGTCAAACTCACTTGTATGATTTAAATGTCTCCAAATAAATAAAATGTTAGTTTAAACCATTGAGAAAAAGACTCTTCAAAGCTTTAGTAAAAAAGTAAATTGACTACAGACAAAATCCAAAGTTAAATTACTAACTTTAAAAAAGAAAGTTGGGAAGTAAAAGAGTTTCCAGGAAAGCTTTTTATTTACTAGCATCTTTTAAAGTTAAATCTTTTAAACTTCACCTGTAAATAATATGAAAACAGAGTGCTTGTATAGCATAGTGATTAAGAGTGTGGGTTCTGGAGTCAGATCATCTGGGTTCAAACTCTAGCTTCTACTTATGTCTGTGAATTCAGGTAGGTCACCTAACCTCTTTAACCTTCAGTTTGCTCATTGTAAAACAGGGAGTATATAATTTCAGAGTTATTTTAAGGATTAAAGGAGATGGTTCATAATTTTCTTTCTCATGCCATACAAATTTATGTAGCAAAATGCAGTGAAAATGTTTAAGAAGCACAGTGTTACCCAATTCACTATACTGGAGGTACACCATGACTCCATTATACACAGCAAGGAATACTGCCACCTTATGACTGATTCTGAAGTGAAAACTATATTTCCTAACAAAATATCATGACCTTTAAAAATCTATACTTCTAACATGGTTTTTTTTCTATAAACCAAATCAATATTTTCTACACTCTTGCCTTCATAGACAAGGCTGTTTTACTAAAGTAGACATATTAAAAATGGGTCACTTGAAAGATAATTAAAATTGTATGATAATTGTGGTGATATGAAATTGCTTTGAGAAATTCTATTTGGAAAAGAATAAATACTCCACAGAAAATATTTCCCTAACAATTACAGTGCCTATTTATTTTATAATGATGTAAATGTCTATGGGACAAACTCTAGTTAAACCATTTAATCTAAAACCCTTCAAATCTGTTTACATTATTATTAAGGTGACCTAAACAAGAACATGTAAAAATGGGTTACAACTCTAATAGTACTTGACAAGGTAATAGAAATTATTTGTTCTTTAAAATTTCCAGAATAACAAAACCACCCAGTAAAAAAAAACAACTGTGATGGGTTTTTACATTCATATAAGCTTTCAGTAATTTATACTCAGTTATCCAATGACAGTTTTTCTTAAAGACTGTCTTAGTCTGAATTATTTTGTAGTAGTTACTCAAAGCTAAATGATGATAAAGTTGGATACAAAAATGTTGGGAATGTATTTATCTATTTGTATATATATTTTTAATTCTAAGGAAATCGGAACATTAAACAATCATTACTTTAAAAACCATCTAACATAAAGGACATTCCACATATGACAGATATTTCATAGACTAGTAATTAAGATAATTTTTCTTAGATTAGCAGCCCAGGTTAAAAACAATAAGATCTCCAAAGATAAGTCTATGTACTTTTACTTACTTTACCTGAAATTTGACTTAAATTGAAAAAAAATAGCACTGAATGTAAAATTTGGGTTAATTTTCACTTGAATGTAGTTATTTCTTCCCATTTCTCTGTCAATATTGAGCACTAAGTAAAACCCACTTGTTAAAAATTTAGCAATACGCTAATATGAAGTTTTGCACTATCAAATTAAATATCTATTCTTGATTTTTAAAGGTACTTGATTTATTTATTGGACTTTCCTAGGAATAATCAGATTTAGTATCAACAGACACAGAGGTTATGTCATAGATAGCAAATTTGCAATTCATTACTTTCCATATACAGTCAAATCAATTCCTCTATTATAAAGAAACCAAAGCTGTACTTTTTAAAAAATGTTAGTGCTGTACTAGGGGTGTAACTCCTTATAAAGCAAGCACAAATGTGGCATCAAACTTACTTTTCCAAAGAAGCCTTTGAAGAACTTCCTTTCCTGGAGGAACAGGGGGACAAGTCGAGTGCTATTATTGTATGGGCTAAATGTCCCAGGGTTTCACACCAATAAGCACATACAGAAGTTGGGTAAAAGGCAAAGTAGGAGAAGGGGAGGGAATGAGTGTTTTAAAGAGTTATTCATCCCAGGAGTGACAAGGAATAAGGAAGGATGCATGAAAATGCAGGGAAGCATACTGTATGGCCTAAGAATCCAGAGAAAAGAGTGAGAAGAAATCAGAACCTGTATTCATGCAGAGCAATTAGTTTAGTACTCTCTCTACTTTCAAAACAGAGATTGCCCAAACTTGGCAGCAGCTAAAAAGATTAGGATACACTAGTTTACTGAGATTTGCATTTTAAATTTTATAATAGTGAGTAGTAAATATAAGATTGGTTCCATATACACTTTCAAATTTACAATCAGTGGTCAACTACGTGCAAGTCATTAGTAAAAAAACCGGTCCACACTTGAATGACCACATAATCACAAACACACAGAAAAGCAACACATAAAATTAAATTATGAGTGTGCACCAGGGTCCTTGTCAGACTTTTTCTCACTGAGTTGAAGATGTCACTTAGAGAATCCTTACTTACGCATTTAATCAATTTGTTACGTATATGTGTACTGGTCAATTCTACAACAATCATCAGGAGAAAACAGACATGTACTATGGCAAACAGAATAAATCATCCATAAAGAATGCAACTCTAATGCTTACATTGGAGCTGAGAAAAAAATATATTGAGAATCAAACGGTATCTGTGGACCGCAACTGAAATTTAAGAACAGAGTTTTGTTTTCTTTTTAAATGCTAGTGTTTTAGAATAAAGGAACTTGCATCGACAGTTATAAATATACAATGCTGAAACTATATAGATATTAAGAGAGACATAGCAATCTATGACCCCAGCACAAAATTTTACACATATGCAAACTTTGAAAACTGACCACCATTTAAAATCTGAAGAATTTATGCAAGGTAGATGGGTTCTAACTCACCCAAGCTAGCTTACCCATATATTCCCTACCTTTGGTTGAATTATACTTTATGCCTTTACTGTTTATAATCAGTTTTTAATGATGGATAAATGTTTGGAAAAAGGCAACTGTATTGAAATTTGGCTCTCTCAGATCATTTATAAGCTCATTCAATACTTTCAAATACTGAATAGTTTGTTTTCTCCCTAATTTTTGAAACCACAAACAGCATCATATATTTCCATGAAATGTTTGACCTTAAGCTGGAAAAATAATAATTGGAGTAGTTATCACAATAAGACTAAGTTTATTTCTACTGCCAAGTTTGTTGACCCTAGTTGTGTAACACTGTGAGTTAACAATCAGCTTTTAAGGATGCAGCCCAAGAGTCACCACTCTTGAGGGGTAGGGAGTAAGGGAAGGAGATCTGTTAATATTTAATTTCTCCCCTAGAAAAGCTTGTGTTAAACAGGGAATTTGCCCTCTTTTTATAAAAGATGTCACGTGTTAATGAAAAAAGTTATTGTGCAAAATGCATACAAAGACAGTTATTAGAGATTAATATTAATGTTTTAAAAAAATTATGATTCTTTTACCTGCTAAAACAAGAATATATATTAAAACAAATATATCAAATAATAAATAAAAAACCAACATATTAGAAATTGGTAGTATAATGAAACTAGTCTAAAACTAAGACAGAGAGGGAGAGACATTTACAGAGACAATGGGAAGAAAAGACCTTTTAAAAGGAGGGGCATCTTGGACCAATGTCAAGCAAGATAACCTGATAACTTTTTACAAAACAGATAAATGACATTACTCTTTACTCCGCAACAGATTGTGCCATAAAGGCACTGAAAATAGGCAATAGTTGTTTCTGTCATTTATCCTATAGAATCTAAGTCCCTAAGTGGCTAATTTAAGAAATTATGTCACAAAATAAATGAGTTGAAAATAGCTGTAATTAACCTTATCAAAGAAAAAATAAACATTTATGTTCTGAAAAGTGTATGTTTAAAATACTGTTTCTAATTATAATAGCTTTTCATTTGAGAATGTTAAGTATGCAGATAACTTCTAGTTGAAGTTAAAGTAATCCTATATTTTAAGGGACTCCTTCAAGAAAAAATCTGTACTTACTAATTATCCTGCTCCCTCAATTCCTCACAAATTTAAAAAGTCCTAGAATGGTATATCTTTAGTTCAAAGATTAGTCAGGTGATAGGTTTAAGATGTTGCTACTTAACTGGTATATCTGAGCTATTTACTTAAAAAATTTTTTTTAACTTTGATAATCAAACTAGTTCCATAGACATGCTAGTTCTTCTTTAATCTGTAGGCTTGTACACTTTTACATTTGCTTCACTTTCTTGAAACTCTAGGAGGAAGCTTTATGATCTACAGAAATAAACAAAAACCCTCCAGAGACATAGCTTTTTAAACATTATAGGCATCTAGTGCAGCAGATTATAAATGTTTGTTAGATGAATGTTTGATAAGAGGGTGGGGGGAAAGCAACTAGAAACTTCTGCACAGCAAAAATATGAAAAGACAAAAATCATTAATTTTTGTGGGCTAATATGATCTCAGAAGAACAATATCCTAGAGACTTCCAACTTTCTGCAAGCTTCTTAATATAGTATTAGAAAGTGTATTTATTTACAGAAGGGGGAAGGTTTCACTGAATATGATAAACAGAAAAAATGACCCCAATTACCCAAAAATTCAATCTTATTTTTAGAAAATACATATTTTCTGTTACTACACTGATGGACAGTGACTGCAATGGGGTAAGGGGGGGACTTGATAATAAGGGTGAATATAATAACCACATTGTTTTTCTTATGAAACCTTCCCAAGAGTGTATATCAATGATACCTTAATAAAAAAAAATACATGTTTGCCTATGCAAAATTATGTACAACATTTGCTCCAAGTCTCCTGGATAGCATTAGCCTAAAAACTTTTTTAAACTTCTTGAATGAGCAGAAGTGGTCAATTTCCCCTCAAAAGTTCAAAAGTTTAAGGATGTTCAGAAAAGCAATGAACATATTAACTTCATTCTAGTCATAGAAGACAATAAGGAAATAAGGATTTTTTAGAGAAATGCAAAAGGTTTCATAAACTTTAAAACATTGGATATAAGATATGGTGACAATGAGATTATTATGTGATTCAATTTGACCACACATTGAGGACTGAATTTTTCCCTGTATATTCATTCCAGAAATATTTTGTGAGAGGCTATTATGTGCCAGACACCATTCCAGGCATAGGTATAACTTTTTAAATAGCAACTTAGTTTCACATTGTGGTGAAAATAAAAACTCATTAAAACTTTAAATCTAAATAATAATAATTATTAGTTGTCCTATACCTCAAATAATCATGCTTATGGTTTATAATAAGTTAAAAAAACAAAAACAAAAAATTCACTCAACTAAAAACTAGTTTAAAAACCAGATGGTGAATAATGGCTATCTCTGGGATTACAAGAGATTATATGAATTGTTTTTATTCATTTTTATTTTATACAATGAACATATACTATCTATACAATAAAAAGATTTCTAATTAAAAGTAGGTTAAAAAACTACACAGTTAAGAAGATTAACTGCTCATTAAACAACTAAAGACCATTTCTTAGTATCTTCTGGGCAAACTTAAACCATCCGTAGTTTTTACTTAGAAAGTGAACATGAAGCCATCTCTGAACTAAAAGACTTTCTAAAGGCTCATTCCACAATGACCTAACTGTAAGTTATAAACTATTTACAGTTTGTTTCATGTCTGGTCACTGATTTATCTATTGTTTTCCATCATAAAAGTATCACAATGTTTAATATATCCCTTAATGAGTAGTAGGGCAAATACTGCATTACTTTTTAAATGTTCTTAAACTTATTCTTCTAGTGATCTTAGAATTATTTTGTAAAAGAAGAGATTGAATTTGTATTTCTTGGAACATTATCTGAGGCTGTATTTATCTCATGAATATATTCGGGTGAACATGGCATGTCTATAAATTATAGTATCATGTCCCATTCTACATAGATGTAAGTCCCTTGAACATTAATGATGATTAATTGGAGAAACAGATAGACTAGAGAAGACTTCAATCATGTAAGAATTTAAATGACCAAAATCTGAGGTGAAGGGTATGTGTGTATACATACATGTATCTATATATATTGGCTTATTGTTTTTACTTCTTTGCATATTATAATCAGTTATTTTTCTCCTCCTTTCCCTTCTACAACAGATTCAGGTATTTGTTCCAAAATACAATCTACCTCTCTGAGTTCATTGCTTCCTTAATTTTGTATCTTTTATATTGAGGAATTATAGATGATAAGTCATGTAGAGTACAACAAGGAGCAGAAAAGTTTTGATTACTAAGCAGAGTGAGAAAAAAAAGCACTCATTAGTAGCCAAACTTGTTGCAGCCCACCACACCAGCAAACCCAAAGCAACAAGTATTTAATGCTGTTTGGGGCAAGGGCATGCAGAAGTAAAGCTTACAGCTTTCATAGCAAAGTCGGGATAGGCCACACACTGGAGAGAAGGAGGTTGGGAAGAGGGCTGTCAGAGTGTATGAAACTTTCTTCAAACCTATCCAAAATATGAAACTAACACTTTAATAGGAACCTTTATGAACTCTGAACACATTCTCTCCTTTTATTAATACATAGGCGTGTACCTGAGATATGTTCTGTGGCATAAGAGGCAAAGCAAACATTATTTATCCCAAAAAAGGACTCTCCATTTCAAGAATGTACAAAAAGCAGAGAAAGTATATTGTTCATGTTAGAGGGGTGTAGTGAAGGAAACTGCAGAATAGCAATCAAGATAATAAGTCCCCTCAAAATGTAGACTTCACTAGCCATCAACATAGATATCTTTATCTTCTACTTTTTCCTGGAAAGCTGTTTATTACAGCAAGTTTGAAATAAGTAATTTATAACCCAGTTATTATAGTTAAGATACTAACTTTAATGATTTTATCCTGGTTTTAGAATATTACTCATTTATAAGTTTCAAATCACTTGTTTAATATAGGTTCTGATCAAAACTATCTTCTGGATGAAGTCTGGCCTAAATTGAAAAAGTTCATCTTTGTAGTTTACACCTGTGGATGGACAATATAAGATGATCTTTTTTTGTGAGCCACATCTTTTGCCTTACGAGAAACACTTCTTACTGGATAGTGGGTTACGAAAATCTACTGAGCAAAATCTTTTAAGCAAACATTTGCAGCATATAGATCAACACCGACAATCACCAAATACATACAGCTTTCAATCTTTTTACAGCATCTTCACAGATGTGCATTCCTCTTGATTCATCAACTTCCACATGGCCAAGGTACTGCAGAAAGAATAAAAAAGTTAGGGCCATTGCTATCTTTATTGAGTAGCTACTCTATGGTAGGTATTAGGTGGCAGAAAATTGAGTACTGAAATTCCTGCACTCAAGAAGCTTGCAGCCATTGTAGAAAAGTTGAGATAATGTTACTTAATTTATCCTCAGTGTCCTCATATAAATGAAATGTAGAATGAATGTCTCAGTACTGTTATAGAGGAGTAAGTAAAAAAGTACATGGTAGTCATTAAATGGTACCTAATCTATTGGATCTGAAGCATAATAACCTATGCTGGAAAGTTACTGTATCTCTAAACATAAAAATAATCCTAAAACAAAGTATGTGTATATGCATATACATGTGTGTATGTGCACACACACATATATATTGAAGAAGGCATAAACAAAAACAACACTTATTCAAAGGCTGAAGAGATCACATGCTTTTTTCATGAGGAGTTCATAAGAATAGGGCAGAGAACTAAAACATTTTAGGTAGTGCATCAGAACTTTAAAAGGTGTAGAATTTGAAAAGGCAGAAATTGAAAGGATGGGGAACTACTTTAGGCAGAGAGAATTTAACAAAAGTTATAGGTGTGGAGTAGGATAACTATTTATTATTATGCCAAATATACATTTTTTTCTTAATTATATTATCCTGGACTTTCTATTTTGTTTTACTATTTTGGCACCATAGTATGTTGTTATGATCATTATAGTTTAAAAATATATTAAAAAATCTGCTTTGGCATGATCACTTTCACTAATTATTAGCAAGTACTCCTGTTTGGTTGGAATATGAGGTATATGCAGTTGGGGAATCTGAATGCTGAAATGAGTCTGTACTTAATTCCAGAGGCAATGGCGAACTAATAAAGTTTTTTTTTTTGCAAGGTAGTGTAATACGATTCAAATTGTACTTTAGTATGGGAATAGCCTTGGGTTAGAAAAAGGATGGCAGCAATATTACAAGTGCTCTCTTTTAAAAAGAAATATAGGGTCTAGTTCTGGTTAAGATGGAATAGATATACTTTACCCTCTCCCACCAATGGAATGAAACCATAAAACCTAAACAGAATGCACAGAACAGTAATTTTAAGTCTCTGTAAAAAGTAGAAAATCAATTAGAGAGAAATACCAGTATTTCTGAACCGGCAGGGAGTTTATCTCCCAGTCCCTTCCCCATCTCTGGTACCTCCAGCCTGAGCTTAACATAGCCAGATATCCAAAAGTGAGTGCTGCGGTACAGAGAGAACTCTAGGAAAAGCATCTAGCTCTGGACCAGGTAAGAGAACTCCTTATCCTCAGAGAGAACAGGAATCCCTCTCCCTTTATTTATCTCTCTCTCCTTTGTTCTCTTACACTCCAGTCCCCAAGAAATCCTGTGGTGGTGCTGGTGGTGGCAGCAATAGAAATCTGCAAGAGACACACCTCTGGGGGAAGGGAACCTTCCTCTCTGTTTAGTGGAACTGTGATTCCAGGAAAGTGGGGCCAAGCCCCCTTCTGATTTTTTTCCCTTTCTCTGTACCTCCCACCATTTGGCCCTAGATATAGTGGGAATAGTGGGAATGCATGGTAGAGCAGAATAACTAGAGCCCCAGGAACCACAGGCATAGACAGTTTAAGCACCTTGCCCGAGGACACTGAGCTAGTGAATACTCAAACCTGAACAGTCATATATTGAATTTTTCATTTTTACTCATATCTTTCTAATACTGCATAAAACCAATATACTAAAACCAATTCGGGAAACTGCTGGACTTGAGGTAACAAAATACTTCCAGCATTAGTCATAAAGATCATAAACTGAGCCCAAAAGTGATTAAATATCTAAAGCACTGTTACACTCTAATTTTGAATAAACATTATATAAAACAGCAAGAATGCTAACCTTTCAGTGAATCTAATAATACATTTTATATAGTTCTAAGTGAAAGAGTATATAACCTCTTTTGGGAAAATCTTAATGAAACAAAATCCAAGAAGATATAAATATATAATCTATTTTGGATTCTCACAGGCAATAAATTTTGGCTACAAATTTCATTTTCTAAACATTCACTTTCCATCTAGATCCACATTTAGTTCCACTCCCTGGTATTACAGATGAGTAACGGTGGTAAAGCAGTGTTCTTTCAAACTCAACATCACTGATTCCATTATGGTTATTATGTACACAGGAGGACCTCAAATTTTAGAGAATTTTTAAATTACTATATTAAAAATAATAAAATATTTCATATCAGTAAGAAAGGATACTACTGATAGCAATTTTTTCACCAGTGTTTCTGTGTCTGGCTCAGTAAGTGGTAACATGAGCTTTAAGACAGATTCCATATTTAGCCATCTTTGCTTATCTCCTTTTTCTATTAAATTAGAAATTTTTAAATTCAAAATATAAGCTGTCTGCAATGTCATATGTTTGGTGGTGGCAGCAATGGAAATCTGCAAGAGCCACACCTCTGAGGGAAGAGAACCTTCCTCTCTGTTTAGTGGAACTGTGATTCTGTCACAGTTCTAGATTTCTGTCAACTAATTCTAGATATTTAGATTGAACTCACACCCAGAAATAACAGAGGACTTTGTCACTGAAGACTACTTTTCATCATTCAGGCAGATGCTACCATGGTAGGCATACTCAAATTATTTTAAGCTATACTTTTCAGCTTAGAAGATGGCAACGAATGGACTTTCAGATAACTCTTTTGTTGAATTCAGCCCCTGGAAAGTATTTCTTAATGTTCTTTTGATATTTGACCCAATAATATCTTTTTAATTTCTTGGTCCAATGAATAAAGAAAATCAAGTAGGAAGAAAGAGTAAAATCTCAGCAACTGAGCTATCTGCATCACTGCTCTGACATTTTAAGAAATTCTGACATCTCATTTTTGGCACCTTGTGATATATATAATGTCGAGTTTCTAAAATTTGTTATTTTGGCTTTAATTTACTCTCTATTATTGATCACTGACTTATAATGCCAAATATACATTTTTTTCTTAATTATATTATCCTGGACTTTCTATTTTGTTTTACTATTTTGGCACCATAGTATGTTGTTATGATCATTATAGTTTAAAAATATATTAAAAAATCTGCTTTGGCATGATCACTTTCACTAATTTTTCTCCCACAGAATTTTCCTGATTATTTCCTGTATTTATTCTTTGGAATCAACTTGTTTAGTTCCTGTCCAAAAAATCCAATTTTGGGTTTTAATTCAGATTGACTCAAATTCACTGGTTGAGAAAAACTGATGTCATAATATTGAACCATTCCATCTGATACTATTTATTCAAGTCTTTTATGTCTCTGAAGACATATTAACCTTTACATACTCTCAAACATTTTTTTCTAGATTAGTATTTAATAATTTTTGTTGCTACTGTGAACTGGTTTTGCACGACATTTATATACATGTGTGTACATATAAACATGCTTTTTTTGGTATCATTAATCTACAGTTACATGAGGAACATTATGTTTACTAGACTCCCCCTTCACCAAGTCCCCCCCACATACTCCATTACAGTCACTGTCCATCAGCATAGTAAGATGCTGTAGAATCACTACTTGTCTTCTCTGTGTTGTACAGCCCTCCCTGTGCCCGCGCCCCCCACCCCCCCCGGCACATTATACATGCTAATCATAATGCCCTTTTTCTTTCCCACCTCCACTTATCCCTCCCTTCCCACCCATCCTCCCAAGTCCCTTTCCCTTTGGTAACTGTTAGTCTATTCTTGGGTTCTGTGAGTCTGCTGCTATTTTGCTCCTTCAGTTTTTTCTTTGTTCTTATACTTAAACATGCTTTTTAATAGACTTTTAGAGCAGTTTTAGGTTCACAGGAAAACTGAGCAGAAAGTACAGAGAATTCCCATATACCCTCCCCCATCTCCTCCTCCTCAACCCACCATCAGAGTGGTAACATTTGTTACAACTGACAAACCTACATTGACACATCATTATCACCCCAAGTCCATAGTTTACATCAGGGTTTACTTTTGGTGTTGTACATTCTATGGGTTTGACAAACATATTGTCACAGATCAACCATTGTAGTATCATACAGAATAGTCACACTGCCCTAAAAATCCTCTGCACTCCTCCTATTCATCTCCTCCTCTCCCCTAAGCGATGACAACCACTGATCTTTTTTACTATCTCCATAGTTTTGCCTTTTCCAGAATGTCAGAGTTGGAATCATACACTATGTAGTCTTTTCAGATTGGCTTCTTTCACTTAGTAATATGCATTTAAAGTTCCCCCAGGTCTTTTCCTAGCTTGATAACTCATTTCTTTTTAGGGCCAAGTAATGTTCCCATTGTGTGGATGTACCACAGTTTACTATCCATTCACCTACCGATGGACATCTTGGTTGCTTCCAAGATTTGGCAATAATGAATAACAGCTATAAATGCTTGTGTGGATTTTTTTAAAAGCAGCTATAAAAGCTATATACATTCTTGTGCGGGTTTTGGTGTGGATATAACTTTTTAACTCATTCAGTTTGAGTTACTGTTAAGTCATATGGTAAGAGTATGTTTAGTTATACGAAACTGCCAAATTGTCTTCTAAATTAGCCGTCTCATTTTGCATTCTCACCAGCTGTCTCATTCCCATCAGCAAGGAATGAGAGTTTCTGTTGCTCCACATCCTTACCAGCATTTGGTGGTGTCAGTGTTTTGGATTTTGGTCATTCTAATAGGTCTGTAATCCATTATATTTTCATTGGTCTCTAATTTGTCTTTTTCTTTCTTGTTGCTTTTAAATAACATAGTCTTTGATATCTATAGTTGCATCATGTGTCTGGGAAACAGACTAATTTTTTAAGTAGCTTTATTGAGATGTAATTTATGTACCATACAATTTGCTAACTCAAAGTGTACAACTGAATAGTTTTTGGTATATTATATTATTTTTTAAAACTGTGGTAAAATACATATAATCTTTGCTATTTAAACCTTTTTAAAGTGTTCAGTTCAGTGGTATTAATTACATTCACAATG